GTAATTCAGCATCATCATCTCAGCCAGTCACAACATCAGCTCCTCCCACCTCAGCATTTGCTCATTCAGGTACACGGGCCTCAACTTATCATGCTTCATCTCCAAGTAACACTGAACATTGTTGGGTAATAGACTCAGGTGCATCTGATCATATAACTGGTTTGCCTTTACTATTTACTACCTATCACTTATCCTTTGGCAAAGACAAGGTGTTTATTGCTGATGGATCACTTGTTCCCATTTTTGGCAAGGGAGACATCAAGTTGTCTAGTGCCATTTCCCTGTCTTTTGTTTTGCTCAGTAACCTTTTTTCCTGATTGATGTGCTTTTCAGGACTTGGAGACAACGAAGGTGATTGGGATTGACCGTGAGACAAATGGAATCTATTTGCTTGAAGGAAGTTCACAGTGGGATGGTAGTGAAGTTAGAGGGTCTTTTGTTTCTCAATCTATTGGTCAAGTCATGCTTTGGCATAACCGATTGGGTCATTTATCCTTTAGGTCTTTGAAAAGCTTGTTTCCTAGTTTATTTGAATCTATCCAAATGTCCAGTTTAAAGTGTGAAAGTTGTGAACTTGCAAAGCATTGTAGAACAACCTATTCATTAAGTAATAAGAGAAGTAGTGTTCCTTTTGACATTGTGCATATCGATGTTTGGGGACCATATCACATCACTGCTATGGGGGGGTACATATACTTCTTGCTGTTTGTTGATGACTATACCCGGTTTTCTTGGGTCTACTTGATGCGTTCTTGAGATGAGGTCCCTACCCTAACCCAGACCTTTCATCAGATGATTTTAACCCAGTTTGGGGTAAAAATCAAAATTTTCAGATCCGATAATGTGAGAGAATACTTTAAAACATCACTAGCCTCTTGAAGATAAAGCTATGTTCTAAAGATTAGTTGGTAAACTACTATATCTTTATCTTGCACGACCAGACATCAGCTATGCAGTTAGTGTTGTTAGTCAGTATATGCACTCTCCCAGAACTACCCACCTACTTGCTGTTGAGAGGATATTGGCATATTTAAAGAGGTGTCCAGGCAGAGGTGTACTATTTAAGGATAATAATCACATGAAGATAGAGGTTTACACAGATGCAAATTGGGCCGGTTGTGTTGATGATAGATGGTCTACCTCTAGATATTGTGCCTTTGTAGGAGGTAACCTTGTTTCTTGGAGGAGTAAGAAACAAAATGTTGTTTCTCGTTCCAGTGTTGAAGCTGAATATTGGTCCATGGCAAATGGTGTGGCTGAAATACTATGGTTGAAATCACTGTTTGATGAATTGGGTATTACCTATGAGAAACCTCTAATGTTGTACTGTGATAATCAGGTTGCTATTAATATAGCTCATAACCCAGTACAACATGACAGAACCAAGCACATTGAAGTCGATCGACATTTTATTAGGGAAAGGGTTGCATCTCAAGAAGTCTGTCTTCCATATATCAACTCCAACATGTAGCTTGCTGATTTTCTGACCAAGGCAGTTTCAAAGAAGAAGTTAGAAGCAGATCTATGCAAGTTGGGAATGACAAACATCTATTCCCAACTTGAGGGGGAGTGTAGAAACCACTGATGTGGTCCCCACCTCTTTCTATTGTATTCGTATACAACTACTATGTGGTCCCCGCTTCTTTCTATTGTACTCGTATACAACTACTAGTTATTTAAGTGTCAGTCCACAATTAGTTGCTAGTCTTTTATTAGGACTTTAATTGTTGTCTTTTATTAGGATTTTAATTTTGCCATGTAAGCAGTCTTATCCTTACTTCAGAATTAATATAAATAGAAAGAGGGGG